GGTCAGTAGATAGCGGGCCAAAAGAAGAAAGAAAGCGAGTAAAAATAATCATAAATTGTTAACAAAGCACACGCCCCACACATTCATTTTTGTTTTTTTTTTTTTTTTGTTTTTGTTTTTTGCCAGTCGATGCCTTTTAAGCCGCTTCGTTAGCTGCTGCTGGTGGCAACGTTTAAAGTAACTTTGACCCTTTAGTTGTTATCCTGGAGGTTTGGGTTTGTTGGCAATTTTTGTTTTTAGAGGGGGACTTTGTATATGTTTTGGCCCGAGCCAAACCGCAAAGGGGGCAGCGGTTGAAGGGGGTGGGAATCTGGCCAACCGACAGGCGGCGACCGCCACACACACACAAACAAACCATTGAGCTTAACTTATGGATTATGGGCGTGCCCTGTTCTGCGGTGAAACAACTAAAGTGTAGTCTACATTTGGGCGTTCGAAAACAAGGGCGCGTAAAAACCGAAGGCAACGTCAAAATGGCATTAGCACCCGAGAGTGTGCCTGTGTATGGGTTTTGTGTGTTAGCTGCGGTTACAGCAACTGAGTTGTGGATGCTCCGGTTTTCTCGTCTTTCAAAGATTTTTTTTTATGTGCCTCTTTAGCCCTGAAAGCTTCTCATTAGGTAAGTGAAAAGAGATGGAAATTGGACCGGAAAGGAAGATTTTTCCAGTAAGCTAAGCGCTGCGTAACTTAGCACGTATGAACAGAAAATAATTTCGTCTAAGAAAAGTAGATTACGGCATTCGGCAAAACACCAAATAATGCATAATGCGATGGGACTAAACAAATAATTCAAATATGCCCATTTTGTATGCTTAAGCTACCTAAAAATTTGAGCAATATTCATCTTTAATATGTTTGCCATAAAAGGAACTATACGGACGCATAAACTGAAATCTTGACCCGCATTCGCTTAGCCATAAATGCTGACATTAATAGGCCAAAGCACTGGTATAATTTTTGCATAACAAATTAACTTGAAGTAGCACTCCGCCGCCACTAACAGCACAAAGCTAATCCACTTTTGCCGAAGGAGACCCAAGCTGGTAGAGATAGCTATATAATTAATTTCCAGGCAAGTTCAAATTAAGGCACATTAAAAACTGCCAGTAAATGAGGCGAGGAGAAGCGAAAAATAGACCTCTTTGCGTTATAAACTAAATGAAGCAAGCTGTAAAGTAATTTGAGCTACGGCATGCCCTCGATCGAACCATATTCATACGACGAGAATGGCAGGGAAAAGAAAATCGCATTTAATGCACAAAAAAAAAGGGAAAAAGTATCAGAAAAGTTTACTGAATGGAGCGACAGCATTCATTCGCAGGACATTGAGAGGATGCCGGACGTGGCCATTGTTCATCGGCTGTCGACGCCAATCATTCAACTGATTAGTTTGATTTTGCCGCTGCGCTATTTCCGTAGACAAAAGCGAAAGACAATACCAACTGATGTGTCAGTAATTTGGATGGACGAAGCTCCGAATAAAAGGTCCCACCGGACTTCAGCGGATATGACCACTGGGATGTCAGTGGGATACCACCGGGAATACACCCACCCCACCTGAAAATCCTTGTTCACTAATTGCTTCACCAGTTTTCACATTTTCCGGAGGACACTGTCGCATCTATAGAATTTTCGTAGTGCGCTTAATTAAATTATCGATTGGGCTATAAATGGGCAGGCAATGAACGAAATAGGAGCGTAAGGAAATTATATTGTAAATTAACAAGATATTTCGGGATTACCCATTCTTAAGCTATCCAAATAGGCTACAATAACTGGCTGTAAATACAAATACTCCGCAAAATCCAAATCCAGACATTGCAGCTCATAAACCCAAATTTTAATGAGCGTCGAAACCTCAACAGGAAAACAACACACACTCACGGTAACCACTTGGGCTACCAAATCTCTTGAGAAGTAGGCAAACAAACTCAAATATGAAAATAATTATGGATGTTTGGGGATTTAGGTAAAATTGCAGACCAGAGAAATGAGTAGATGTCAGACAAGTGGGGAAGCAACCGATAAATTTCATTGGATAAGTAAATTATAATTAAGCAATCGAACCAATTTAATATGAAATCATTTTCGGTCCAACTACATAGATGCTTAAAGATAATTGAATAATATACCGAGCACTTGTTGAATTTCCAAATTAGTAGGCAAACATTCCTCCTATATAATCATTTATATCTGAAGCAACCTAATTAATACACACAACATTAATTGTAAACTATGATTTGGTTCAAATAGTTGTGAGTGCTTAAATGACTGTGGCATTTTATGAACAGCTTGGACAATAAATATAGTGATATAGTAGCTAAATTATGTTGCCTATGAATAGTAAAATAGACTTAGATTTAAGCTTTAGGAAAAACATGTTCTACCCCTAAGTTGCCATCTAAGTGGCACAAGAAGTTCCTCGAGAATGGGTGATGGGCCAAAAACTTGAAAGTGGCAGCTGCGAAACTATTTAATAGTTGCACGTTGCAACACTTATCAGCCGAGTGTAAAGGAACAAAAAGCTTTGCCCTACTATGTTGCAAGCATATCGGGCAACAATGTGACATGCAACGGAATTGTTGAGCATACGCATTACAAGCCTCGCAGCCATGCCAACTACCCAAAACTAAGCCAACCAAAATGCCTTTCAATCACAAAAGTGAAGAATTTCCGCAGGCCAAGGACGAGAGGAACTATACAACAAGGCTCCTGCGATTGAACTGGCAAAATATGCTGGTTGGTAAAATGTTAGTGAGCGAGAGCAAAATAGCAAACTTGCATAAGGAAACATGGAGAATGTTAGTATGGAGCAAAAATAGTATGGAAACAAAATAAAAAATAATAAGGTTTTGCCATTTTTTTCCCCATTTCACTTTTGAAACAAACAAAAGGATACTGACATGGTAAGGCATGAATAAAGTTTAAAATACTGTCGAGCGAAGCAAATGGTTGGATATATACTCACAATAAACATAAAGAAAAAGTTTCATTTATTCACGAAAATATGATGAACAGGAATGTCAAACATTGTACGCGAAAAACGCAAGCACACACATTTATAAACTTTGTTTTCTGCGGGACAATTATGCAAAAATGCCTTAAAGGTATTGTAGATCTGCAGCATGAAAAGTTCAAATATATTACATCCAGCGATGTAATTGTAAATTATTTCAGGGACTAAACACATTTGGTATTCGTGTTTTTTGGTCACCGTCAAACCTGCAAAAAAATATTCTGATAAAGTTTAAGTTTAAGAATATAACTGCTAAATCAAACCTGCTAATAAAAAAAACTGTGTTATATAGTCGGGAAATAATAAAACATTTCCATCTCGGTTTTGCTTCCATAATTTTTAACATTTCTTGTGACTGGCGCATTAAATAATGAACTTTAAATAACATGAAAAATGTATGCTACCTCATAAAATATTTCTTCTGTCATGGACCTTTGCTGTCATGAATTTTTTTATCGCGAACCTTGCTCAACGTCAGTTACTGGCCATTCGGTGGGTGGCAAAAGTGGGTTGAGATGGTTGGGGCCTCCAGGGAGGCGAAACACGCTCGGAATAATTAAAGGATTTTTTTTCGTTAGAGCTTACCCGCTTAAAGTGGGTCACTGTATCATTGGCGTTATGTGGTATAAAATTCAGGATTGACATCGCCACCAATCCTATTGACATTTTAGCTTAACAATTCCATTTTATTTTCTAATTTTTAGGATTAAGTCAAAGCAAAATCTGTACTGAATATTCGAAGTGAGTATTTATTAAAATCTACAAAATTCCGTTCAAATGCATGGCGCGAAATATGAAAGCGCGAAATATCTTGGATATTAAATTGGAATAATATTTTCCTAAATAACTTGTAAAACCAATACCATCCATATAATTTGACAATTTAAGGCAACACCATTTCTTGTTTCCTTAGCAAAAGACGGCCAATTATTACTGGCAACCAAAGGGCACTGAACGACGTTTGACCTCAAAACGAAGGTAAAAATGAAAAATTAATATAATACTGCACTGCCCTGAGAACTAACCTGACCTGCATTTCTGGACTAGAATGGATAAAACCTGACGAAGCAACAACGGAAGTCGAAACGGAAATGAACAAAAAATGCTTGCAACAGGGGGCAGAACCGTGGGTGATTGAAAGCATAAGCGCCACAGCGGATAGCAGAAAAAACTTTTTCACAAAAGTAAGCTAACTTAGACATGAAAACAAACAAACAAAACAATTCCAGTCAACGCAAAACCGAAACCAAACCAAACCGAACCGAACCGAAGCGAGACAAAATGAACCACGACGATCCGTACTGAACTGAACAAAACCTAGGTAAAAGTTTTTGGCCCTTCGCACTCTATAAGTAAACACAAAGCACTTGGGCGGGGCAAAAGTTGGAGGGGAGAAGAGTACGAGGTTCTGAGAATGGAATTGAAAATGAAAGACAACTTGACGGCGACTTCATTTCATGATTAAGTTGCCCATATCGATTTCCTTTCAACAGACTTTATGATGATGAAAATGGAAGCCCTTCTTCGGTTAGGCCACCGCAAGGACCTGCGCCTGCGGTTGTCAAAACCCACCAAACCCCCGTCCTTCTCAACCATCGCCACATGCACACATGTGACTGACTCACTCACATTCAAAACAATAGATGACGACGACGAGGGCGTAGCAGAAGAAACTGAAAAGGTTGCAAAACATACATAAATTGTGAAGGAAATGTAATTGTTAGGGACATCTTGGGACTGCTCTGTATAGCCAAGTAGTCGGGTAAACAAGAAGAAAAAACCCGCAGATGGCGCATGGAAACAGGAAGTGGGTTATTCCGAGGCCACACACTTTCTACACATATGGTTAGAGGTGCCAAAATATATAGTGAAACCTTCTTCAACTGTTTATAAAAATTTGCGCATTAAAGATGGCAAATATATAATAAATTTCACAAAAAAAAAAAATCGATAGCATTGAAATTTCACTCAGAGGTCTCGAAATACTTTCCCGTACATTTAATACAGTTTTTACGGAGTAACGGAATACATTGATAAAATGTTCGAAAATTTTTAGTTTTTTTGACCGTGATAAATGTGTGAGAAATTGTGTTGAAATTAGTTTTACGGTTTTACAATCCAAATTGCGTGCAAGTCAAATAAGTCTATTTACTACGTAAATTCCAGTAGTTGGTACAAAACCATCTCCTCCATATGGCAGATGTACAAGAGCAGCCCGAATGGGGCAAGAAGCTGTCTAAATTCTTTATAATACCCCAACGCTGGATTCTGGCCATCATGGGATTCTTTGCCATCTTTAATGCGTACACCATGCGGATATGTCTATCCCAGGCCATAACAGTGCTGGTGGTGAAGAGGAATTACACTATTTTCCACACCGAAGCGATCTGTGAAGCGGACGAAGAGTCTAAATCCAAAGATCAGCTTGAAGGAGGCGATTATGATTGGTCGCAGGAGAAACAGGGTCTTATCCTGGCCTCTTTCTACATTGGCTATATTGTCACCCATTTGCCCGGCGGCATTTTGGCTGACAAATTTGGCGGAAAGTGGACTCTGAGCCTTGGAATCTTCTTCACGGCACTATTCACTTTGATCACACCGGTCTGCATTGTCTATGGCGGAGGAGATGCTTTAATTGTGCTCCGCGTCTTGATGGGTCTTGGTGAAGGAACCACTTTTCCGGCCCTCAGCGTTTTGCTGGCCAACTGGGTGCCGGCAACCGAGCGAGGAATGCTTGGAGCCCTCGTACTCGGTGGTGGACAGGTGGGTAGCATAGCTGGTAACATTATTTCTGGATATATACTCAGCTCCATGGACTGGCCATGGGTATTCTACGTTTTCGCGTTGATCGCACTTGTTTGGTTTGTCTTATTCACGCTGCTGTGCTTTAGTAGTCCATACACGCATCCATACATCAAAGCAGAGGAACGGGCGTTCTTGTCCCAGGAGATTCCGCCCCCGGATAAGAACAAGCCAAAGACACCGTTTTATGCCATTTTTACGAACGTACCAATGTGGGCACTGATCAGTGCTCAGATCGGACACGATTGGGGTTTCTATATCATGGTCTCATACCTGCCAAAGTATATGTCAGATGTGCTGCGGTTTTCGATCAAGTCCAATGGTCTCTACTCCTCACTGCCCTACGTTACCATGTGGGTCATGTCGCTGGTCAGCGGCTGTGTGGCCGATCAAATGATCAAACGTGAATGCATGAGCACCACGAACACGCGCAAAATCATGACGGGATTGGCCGCCTTTGGACCGGCTGTCTTCATGGTCGCTGCATCCTATGCTGGCTGCGATCGGGCCCTGGTCGTCGCTCTATTTACAATCACCATGGGACTGATGGGCACCTACTATGCTGGCATGAAGCTCACGCCATTGGACATGAGCCCCAATTATGCCGGAACTCTGATGGCTATTACCAATGGCATTGGTGCGATTACGGGCGTGGTATCGCCTTACTTGGTGGGTGTGATGACTCCGAATGCCACCCTCATCGAATGGCGAATGGTGTTTTGGGTTGCGTTTGGCGTTCTTGTCGTCACAGCGATTGTCTATTGCATTTGGGCATCCGGAGAAGTACAGCCCTTCAATGACGGCACCAATTCGAACAAGAAGAAGGATGCAGCTTAAATAATAAATGTATGATTTATCTTAAAAATTGAGTGTTGATCTGGGTTAGGCCTTTACATTCAAATTGTTCCCTTAAAGTCGTAACATTAAACTAAATGAGCGAGGACATAACTGAAACCGTGATTATGGTAAAACCATGAATTTGCAAATTTTAAATGACAACAGTGACACAAAGAAAAGCAAAAAATACATAATTCATATTTACATTATAGCTAATATTTCCGTTGTCGCAAAAACCCCACAATAGTTGAAAAATTACGAAAAAAAAAAAAAAAAAAAAAGTGTCAGCACTTTGCTATTTCCCTGTAGAATTTACTCTGTTTACATATAATTTCCAAATGCATTACACCAAAGGAAATAAAATAATATTTTAGTCGATTAGAAAGTTTTAGGTAACAGGAAATTAATTGATTTATTTTTATGAAGAGGCTAAGAAAATGCATTTAAATGATGTGTTTGGGTAAAACCACTTTATAGGTGTCCCATATTTTTCAATGGGCATTATATGGTTCATTATTTACACAGTATCCACTTTGAGTTTTAGAATGTATTATTTGTTCGTTTCGCGTTAGATATGTGAAATTTTCCAGGCCATGTTCTGGCCAATGAACCGCATTCCACACCCTTTTATCCATTCGTTTAAGCGCTTCATTTGTAGTCAACACGAAAATTAAATCAATTATTTATGCATTTATTTCGTTCGACAACGCATGAAATATTTTGTGTGCTTGGTCAGCCGGCCATGATGTTTGCTGTGCAACTCTTTATATCGACTCAATTGTGAACAGATTTCGATTCTTTTGCGGTGGTGTGAGCAATTAATAAATAATTTCCGGCTTGATGTACATGCAACACATGACAGATAGCGATTTCCACCGCTCCTTGGCCCGAATATCCCAGCAGTTTGTCCCACCAAACTCAATATAGATGTCTCTTAAATAAATGGCTTTTAGTCATCGGTCAACCAGCCATGACAGATTGGCTTATTTACTTTTCTTTTACTTGCGCCAGACAAACTTGTGCAGCAAATCAACAGTTTAAACAGTCTCGTAGTTATGTAGTAATGACTTTTTTCTTGAAAAATTCATATTCGTTCCTAATTCCTATTAGTTCGAAAATGTAATGTAGAAACATAGATTAATGTTCTTAATATACTCCTAATTTATTTGATTTCCAAATTTCCTCATATATTGATTATACTCATACATTTACAGTTATGTGTTACCAGAAAGTTACCTGAAAATATAAAGAACAAAATTTAATTAGTTAAGTGATTTTGTATTATTGCTATACTAATGGGAGACATTTTAAAAATGGTTATGTGGGAGAAGCATGGCCATCAAGTGCCATAAAAATATCATTGCCTACTTCTGTGGGCACCTGAGTTATGCTCTCGGCTCTCGACTGTCAACTAAAAAGCCATAAAATTTGTCCTTAAATACCAGCATTCACATTATAAATTTTACCTTACCCAGTGAACACACCTTCGCACTTGGGCCACATGGGGCGGTTAGATCGTTAGAAGCAAGTTTAACTACCAGCTTCCCCAAAAAAAAAACGACAAAAAAATAAAAGCCCAAAGAAGATTCAAGAGACAAAGCCAAAAAAAGCGAGAAAAGTCAGTCAGTCGGAGGGAAAAAGGTAATAAATAAACAAAAGGTATAAAGGGGATTGAAGAAATTCGAAAGGAAACCTAAGTAAGGTTATAAAAATGCAATTTCCTTTTGCAATTCCTGTTTTATATTTTTTGCAAATGTACCAATCTGCTAGAACAAAAGTACAAGCTATATATGCAAAGATAGGTACATATATTAATATGCACGTATAGGGCCAAAGAAAATAAATACCAATAGAACAAGCTGAAAGCCGCTTTAGCCGAAATAACAAATGTCTATGCAATTTGTTTTAGGGCCAACACCAAAACAGTAATATATGTGCATACATGATTCGAAGAGAGAGAAAAGTGAAAATCTAGCGCTCAAAAGGTGGCGCTGGCCCCAAAGGTGAGTTTTGAAGCAATTTCTTTTCATTTTCAATTTTACTTCGTCTTTTTTTTAACAAAAGGTGCAAACAGGGACGCGTAAATTGCAGACGGGTTGCCGCAGGAGCCGGTTGGGGAAAAGTGCAAACAATTGCAGGCCAGGAAAACCTGGCGCAGCGTTCAAAGGTATGCAATGCAAAAGTGTACGGCTGAAATTGAAAGGCTGTTCGTCAGACTATGGGCGTGGCCTGCCATTCCCAGCGAGTTTTGGGCGTGAAATGTGTGAAAGGATAATGCCGGCAGCGAAGAAAAGAATTATTGCGCCTCCTTTCAAATGGTTTATTCGGCGGGAGGAAGTCCTGAAAGCTTCAACGAAAGGTAAAAAGCGAGCGGGAAATAAAAATCTTTCAAGGAGCTAGGCAAGTCAATTTGGGGATGAAACGCAAGCTCATCAGTGCAAATACTCCATTTCCAACATATAGCGTTCTTTACGTTATCAACCAGTAAACTTTTTGAAATTTCACATTTCAATTTCAAGCAAGATCTACCAAACCAACGAATTTACTTTCAAGCTTTTATACTCCATTTAGGTTTTTGCTCGACATATCTGTAGTTTTCAAAAATAAAAGAAGCAGTATTACTTGCATTGCAGTAAATTCTCTTAGTTCTGATATCAACGGCCTTAAAATAATAAATCGGTCAAGTCGGTCCATAGGTAAATCAGTTTCATTATGTAATATAAACGATTTCCTACTTAAGGAACTCCCCTCGCTTGATGGCTTGCCAAGGAAGATGTGCTTGCTCAACAGTTTGCTCTGCCATTAAACTATCGCCTCATTGTTGGCCCGCTCTTCCTCTTCTTTAGAGCAAACAGAGGAGCTGAGGGCTGAATGCGCGTTGGCCTTTATCTGCCCTGCATATCAAATGAGCCAAGACGACCAAAGGAGATGGAGCCGAGGGACTTGAACGCGTCGCAGCTCCAGTTTACGGCATTTCTTTAGCTCCATCTTGATAATGACCAGTGACCCCAATATGGAACCAAGAGTCACCCCACACACACTTTCACTTCCTGTGCCAGAGACCGCAAGTCCTGCCCCCACCGCCCCCTTTCCGCCAGTTCACAAATGGGCACAGAAGTGCGCAAAAGGATTCTCTTGGCAACACTTTCGCTACCATGCATGCATTTAATGTACATTTTTCACACTAAACACGTGCATAAATCATCACGGGGCCTAAAGCTCAACTTTAGCTCAAGGCTAAGCTTGTTGCTGCTGCCTCATTCTTTTTCCGTAGTAATGTCACCTGCACATTGAGGCCAGGCCAGATGAATAAATCCGACTGAGGAGCTGCCACAAAGGTAACTCCCCTTGCAGACAGAGAAACGAACTCATCTCTAGTTATGCTCTCAATATTAAAAAGATCTCTTAAATAAATTAAATGAATCTAACATAATTTATTCAATTTGTTTAAGCAGGAAGATTAAAAACAACTATTGCCTTTTCAAGAAATACAATTTGAAGAAATACATGTGTATAGGCACAAATAAAGACCAGAGTAAGTATTTGAAGTATATTACCATTTTATTTAAAGTAATTGAACTTTTGCAGGAGCATTTTCTTTGTTCCAGTGCATGGAATTGCATGGAAAATAATAATTATAATGCACAGGCGGCAACCTGGCAGAATGTCGCACACCCAGGATACTTGTCCTGATTATGTGGCATCGCAGCAGCAGCCTAACCACCAAAGGACAGCCACAGCTGGTGGTTGCAACCAGCAGCTGCAACTTGCAATATTGCAGTTGCCCTGCATTTCGTGCTCCTTCTGGCGAACATTTGTTGTGACAGACTGGTCCTTCCATGGGGAGGGAAAGGGGAATGGAAATGCGACGCGAAGGGATGCGGTACTGTGGGCATGGGAGATTGCATGCGGAGGCCCTTAGCCATTTAAATTTATGTCTATTTGCGTTGGCGTCTGGCAGTTTCCCAGGGATATCGTCTAGCCCTAAAGGGGTTTGTATTCGTCCTTAATGATACTCAAAATGGTTATCTGGGCGTTGATGTGTTTATCGGTACATTTATGCTAAATATGGAGTTGTCCATTAATTTACACATTTTCGGTTTAGTCCTTTTCAAAACCATTTTAGCATGGAGTTGCGTACTATTAATTATGTTTAAATTACAAATTACATATAGTTTTCAGCATTTTGACTGTAAACATCTTATTTAAAGCCGTTATCCCTCTGTTATTGACCAAAACTCTTAAAAGCTGCGATTTTCACAAAAACCTAATTAGCCAGATCCTTGGGAAATTTTTTTACCTAAAATAAATTTAAAAAGTTTTATACTTGAGTGGCCAAACATCTGGGACCGTTGCTGCCAAAAAATTAGAACCTCCTGCCGGCCAAAAACTTAAAACTTTAATTAGCCACTCCAAAGTTGGAAGGATCCCATGAACAGAGGCTGCTAGATTTTTCCATTCCATTCTATTCGTTTGTTTTATTTTTGTAGCTTAGCAAGCACTTAAGAGCTAGAATACACTTTGAAATAATTAGTGGCATTAGCCATCGAGTAATTTTAAAAATTAATCAGCTAACAGACGAGTACATGTGCTCATTTAGGAGCAGACTGTGCGGCATGGTGATAAAATACAAGAACCCAATTAGCACTTAACACATAGGAGCAAACAGTTGGGTAAATAAATGGTAACAGAAGCTCAATTGATGGCCGGAGCACGTGTCCCGGCATTACGTTAAATGTTTTCAGCAGAAGTAAAGGGAAAGACTTTCAATTTCCAAGGCAGCCAAAAAGCCAGACATCAGCGAAAAAGGCAGCAGGCAACTTGGAAACTAGCACAAGGACGTGTGCCAAAGCGCCACACAAACAGCCAAAGGCACAATGTACAGACACATATATAAGTACGTATATACATATAAAAGAAAGGGCATACGATTCGCTTAACCCACCATCACTTCATCCTTCAGCCTATTTGGTCCTCAGCGAAAATCTAAGCGCTCAAGTGGCGCACGTGCTGTGCGCGAAATCAATATTTAC